TGGAGCCAGAGGACCGGGGAGCGCCTCTGAGCGAGCCGCCTGAGAGTGTGGGAAAGGCTCCCCACGACCCAGGGGAGCACACGGACGGAGGGGACCGTGCCCCTTGCAGGGAGGCTCTGGCCCTGCCTCGGCCCTGGCGGGGTCTCTGGGCCCCAGGGGAGAATCGAGAAAGCTTAGCTCTGGCCCAGCTCCCCGCCGCTCAGGTAGACAGGAATTAAGAAACAATATTTGTGTTGGCAGCAGACATTTGCCGAAAGGTTAAGTCCACACCGCAGGGCCTGCCCTTCTCCTGCATGCTTAGCGGACCGGTCGCCCGGCCCTGCACCCACGCTGAGCAAACAGGTGGGGCTGGCCCCACGTCACTAGGGGTCCCCAGCAGCCCTCCTGGAGGGGGCACGCGAAAGCCTCGGGGTCCCAGGGCTGCCACCGGCCCGGAGGCGGGGCTGCCAGGGGCATGGGGCTCAGATGTGGCCTGGGCAGTGGAGGCCTTCAGACCCCATCAGCTCACGGGGGTGGGGGGGGACGCCCTAGAATCCACCCTCCACGCCGGGGTCAGGGCAGGTCCTGGCTGTGCCGCCGGGCGTGCATCCCCACGGAAGACCTCCTCTGGGCCAGGGCCCGGAGGCAGACGCCATGCAGAACTGTCCTCGAGTTGCCCCAAGCCCAGGAGGGGGGACAGGCCAGGACCTGCACCGGGCACTGGGAGGCAGCTGTGAGCCAAGCTGGGGGCGGGTTCCTGCCCTCAGGGAGTTTGCCGAGCAGGGAAAGCCAGGCCGGGCAGAGGTGGGAGGTTCATATTGGGTGAGAAAGAGCGGGGTTCTGTGGGATGTGTAGGAGCTCACCAGGAGGACAGGGGTGGGGACCGGTTGTCATGGACTCCCAAGCCCTCCTGGAGGAGGACGGGGGTGTCAGGTGAAGGGGCTCAGCAGGAGCGGGTGTGGGGAGGTGCTCCTCGTTGCGCTGGCTGAGCACCCAGGCTCTTCCCGGGGCTGTGGGAGCCACAGAGGGCTGCGGAGCAAGGAGATGCTGTGCTCACAGCACCGTTAGGGCAAGTCCAGGAGGAGAGGGGCTGCGAGGAAGAGTGGGCGGCCCCCGAGGTTCTGGGAGGGGCCGGGGAGGTGGACAGGGGTCACAAGGTGACCAGCCGGGGTGGACCTGCGGGGCTGGGGCTGGAGACGGGCCTCAGGCTCCTGCTGTGTCCACTTGGTCCCCCTGGGCTGCGGACCCAGGGGGCCCATCTCCAGTGGCCGCACACCAGGACCACCCCTGCTGGAGGGAGCGGCTAGTCGGCGGGTCCCCCAGTTCACCGTCCAAGCCCTCCCTGCTGCAGGCAGCCAGGGCCCAGGCACTGAGGGGCCCATGCACTGAGGGGCCCAAGCACTGCGGGGCCCTGTGGGGAGCTGGTGAAGGGAAGACTCATCTGGAAAGACAGGCTCTCCTCCGACCCCCACGGTGCAGCCTGGGTCGCCCCGCGTGGTGTCGGGCGCCTGCACCAAGATGCAGGTTCTGTGTAGCGAGCCCCAGTGGGTGCCTGGGTTGCGCCTCCCGGTCCCCGCCTGTCACTCCACAGTCCCCAGCCCGACGAGCGCCCCAGGAGAGGGATGATTCAGAGCCGCTAGGCCGCCCTGCGGGGTGGGTGACAGTGGCAGCAATTAGATTTAATGGGACAGAGCCCTTTCTCCCGCCTCCCTCAGGCGGCAGCAGGCGGGAGAGGGATGTGAGGGAGGTGGGAGGTGGGGGACCCGGGGGGACTCTGACGTCAGCTCAGCCTATAAGAGGCCGCCTGGCCTGGCCGAGGGCTGTGGAGAGAGCCCCGGACCACACGGTGTCATGCCCACGCCCAGCGCCTCCGCGTCCCAGGCCAAGGGCTTCCGCAGGGCCGTCTCCGAGCTGGACGCCAAGCAGGCCGAGGCCATCATGGTAAGGGGGCCGGCGGGTGCCCACTGGCCGACATGGGCCAGGACCCTGGGTGTCCCCGGGCTCAGGGTCCAGCGGGCGGCTCAGACCCAGGCTTGGTGTGGTGTCCCGGCCACGGGCACTTCCTCTGCCCGGGCTGCCAGGGCGACCCCGTGTTTGCATCTGGGCGGATGGGTCGTCTGACCCAGTGAGGGTGTCCCATGCTGCGGCACAGCTCACGGCGGGGGGTGCTGGGCCCACGGGGGTGCAGCCCCTGGGGATGGCGGTCTGAGCCCAGGGGTGAACTGGATTCTGGGGCAAATCCCACCATCACCGCCCGTCCCCTGCCAGGCACCCGGGTCCCACAGCCCCTGCCCAGCAGCCCTGGGACAGTCCCCCAACTGTTGCCACTTGGGAGCCCTGAGTTCAAGGGCGCCTGTGCCGGGCAGCCCCCCTCGGCTGGCCCCTCTGTGAGACGGGGGCGGGGAGGGCTTGGCGGCCTGGAAGGGGGGCCTGCAGTTCGTCCCCAGGGACACCCAGAATGACAGGCCCCGCTTAAATGGGCTTTGGTGTTAGACCCTGAGTGACAGCGTGGTCTGTGTTCCAGAGATTGAACGTGTAGGCACCTTCTCGGGGGCCGTGGGGAGAGCCCCCCGTGGAGGCCAGGGCCCCGGCTCTGTCCACATCCCGAGGTCACGTGGGGACCAGAGAGGGGGTCCCCTGCCCCTGCCCCCTGTTCCGGGCCCGAGGGCACCAGCACCTACTTGGAAGTTCAGCTCCAGGGGGTGAGCCCTCCATGCAGCTCCTCCTCCGTCCGTCCTGGGAGCTCTGTCGGGGGCATCAGACACGCTGGCCCGAGCGGCTGGCCGTCTCGGGGTCGGGCTGTGGACAGGGGCACCTGTGTCCGGATGGAGGGGACGTGTGGCCAGGTGTCCCTGTGCTGCGGAAGGCCGGAGGGACCGTGAGCAAAGGTCGCTCACAGGAGAGGCTGGGGGGCGTGTGGATGGTGGGGGCCACTCCCCGCCCGGCAGACACCGTGCTCGCCGCCCCTCCGGCCCCAGGCTCTGGCCGCAGTCCATCTGGGGCCAAGGGCAGCAGATGACTCCGGAGT